TGTATGAATGTCAACGATTTGCCACGAAGGACGCTCTCTATGCAGACTCCACGCAAGGCATTCTCTGCCTTCGAACGTATGGCACTACGTGCAAGTGGTCCAAGCGCACAGTTCGGCTTCGTGGGGGCACCCAGTGGTACTCAACGAAGTCTGTACTGGCCATCTTGCGAAGGCCTGTAAATCGTTATAATCACAGTGGTTCATTTTTACCATTTGCAGCATCACAGGACTTTACAAGTCTAACCAAAATGGAACCTACTAGTTAACATGAACTAGCAGAGGGAACTGCCGACAGTGCAAAATGCCCTTCCTCGACCAAACAGCGTTGCTGTTCAGCATTAATGGTAAATATTAAGCTAATGCTAATCTCAATGAGCACGTCCTGATCACGCCTGTTGAATGTTTCAGCAATTTTTTTCTCGCACCAACAAAGAGGACAATTGAACGTTTTAAAACAAGAAAAAGCTCCGAAAGGTTTATTCCAGAGAGTTCAATAAACACAGAAGATTCAAAAAGCTCTTCAGTATAATTGCGCTATATTTCGCTGCTTAGAACCTTCGTCAGGCCTGAACTAGCATATAAATACATGAATGCTAAGCACCAAAATACAGCGACAAATATTCTAAAAGACCTTTCGGATCTTTTGCGCCTTGAACTCTTTGATAAACTTTTGTTCTTAAACATTCAGATAACCATGTGGCTCCGGGACAGCACAGCTCTTACCAGGGAAGTCCGCCAACCTACCATAGAACTTTGAACTGGAGACCTGGGTAGATCGATAAAGTCTATAAGGTTATTTACAAATATAGATAGCAAAACTGCAACATTTCACAAGCAACTTTGAGCAGGTAAAGTTTGTAATGGTGCAGTAGGGTGGAGGCTTGGTGGTGAGCTGTGAAGCATAAGCGAGGAATCGCATACGTCAAATCGTGCCTGTGAAGCGAGAACCTTACCACTGAACCACCACGACTCGATTCGACGTATGCGATTCCTCGCTTATGCTTCACAGCTCACCACCAAGCCTCCACCCTACTGCACCATTACAAACTTTACCTGCTCAGTTGCTTGTGAAATGCAGGTTGCAGTTTTGCTATCTATATTTGTAAATAACCTTATAGACTATCGATCTACCCAGGTCTCCATTCAAAGTTCCATGGTAAGTTCGCTGACTTCCCTGGTTAGAAGGATGGTAGTTTCATCCTTACCTCTCTTCGATTTGATCGGGATCAGCACTTCCTTTCCATAATAGTTCATCACAGTGACAAAACCTGTGCCAAAATTGACTTCCTCGATGAGAAGTACCAATAGCAGGGTTAGTATACATATCAAAAATTTGAACTGCACATTCCGACTAATCGATACAGGAGACACGCGCATTCGCGTGTCCTCTTACAAGTCCTCAATGCTAAAATGAAACACAGCTTTTCGATATCGTTCAACTTACTAGTTCATGAAAAATGATGAAGAACGGATTATATTGAGCCATAGTACTTCGACATATTCACAAGACACAAGAAGATCCAATGCTCTTTATTGTTATGCTCTGCAGCCATATAATCAAAATCATAGCTGCGAGATAATCAAATTAGTAGCCAAATATAAGTACTATGAAAAGTACGTGATATCAGTGTCATCACAGCGCTACCAATCATCACGCTTACAAGTACGTAGCAAAGACAAATGCAATGAATGAATCACACTAAGGAATGAAACCGCAAGTGAAACACACACGAGGAAAGGCTACAATCACAACATATTCATAGAAAGCAAATCGACTAGATCAAATACTTAAAGGCTTGTTCTTCACATTTTTAAGCACGTAACTTGTGAAAGTTCGGAGGAATTTCGGGTACTCCTTCTTATAGACTTGTCTTAATGCTGCAGTCGGTACCCATCCTCCAGGATGAACTGAAATGATCACAACTTAAAGACCGCTAAAATGAGTCAAGACCCAAATCTTCCACAAAAGTTACGGTCGTCTGACTCAAGGACGTTGGAATGAGAAAACAAAGCCAGCACAAGGAACATGTGGGCCTTTAAACCCAGGAAATAGGGTATTAATCATATGTTTCAGGACGTGCCATGATGTCGTATGATTCTTATAACACGTCACTGACGAGACAGTCGCGTCTTACAACAACCACCTCACTTCCACGCCACGACTTAGATTTTTTTTCATGTGAAAACAACATTTAGTATTAGAGAATGAAGAATTTTGCCTGGGCGCTGAAAGAAGAGGAGCACCAGTGTGTGTCTTCCAACTCTTTCAGAGCGCGTTCATACTTCGTTATCCGATCGCTCTAATCGCGCGGTCTTCAATCGCTTGAGGGATCTGATTCCGCGATCCAAGTGATCGAAGTACGAACGCTTTCTGAAAGGATGAGCTAGCCTACATCGAGGCTCCTTTTCAGCCAACGTTTAGACAAAATTTCTCATTCACTAGCACTTCTACAGCTCTTACGCAAAAATGTTGTCGCATTTCGAAAAAAGGCTGATTCAGTCCAGAGCTCCATCGCACTCAGACATCATGAGAAAGGGGCATTTCTTAGCACGCAACGTGTTTACTATGGGCTTATTGGGATAGCACCGGAAGCTAGGAGCAAAGCTATTTACTTATTAAAAGTGATACAAAACTTAGTAAATTTATTCAATGGCAACATCTTGGAACCACTCACCTTGAGAAACATATATAACTTTACATAAAATGTCGTCTCGATTGAGCTCATCTAACGTTTTACCATTTTTAATCACAGTCTCGCATATCATCGAAACCGTAAGACCGACCCGGATACCAGAAGATGATGTGACCTGTATAAGTAAACAGTTATCTGATAGTAAAAGTACCATTATCGACAAAAAATTTATTCCAAAAACCTCAAAAGACAGCAAATAGTAGCTCAAAAGTTTTTAAAAAATATATCTGCGCATGTTTCGGTGCGTAGCACTTCGTCAGCCACAGTATCGGATTTTGCCGAAATTCTGTCTGTCTTTGAGTTTTTTGGAAATGAAGACATGAAAGCACCAATAACTTCGAGTATTCCTATCTATCTATAAAACCAGCTAACTTTGTGTGTCGGTTGTATGTTTGTATGTAGGTTTGTCTGAATGTTTGTTCTGTCAGCGCACTAATACTTTCACAAGGTTCAGGTCGCTATTGGAGGCGAAAACGACCGCTAGGCAAACCGGTAACCGACTGGGAGGATGTAGCAATCCAATGTTTTGATCGTGATATCGGCCTCCGCTATATAAGACAACCATTCGGTACACTCCGAGCCATTGCACGAGCTGCTGGCGTGGCAGCTGGACGTGTGCTCGTGCGGGGGCAGGGTGGGGTGGGGCCGAGAGGGGGGGGCACTGGCCCCCCCCCCATACTGGTTTTTTCCTTCGCCTTGCGCGTACTCAGCCGCGGCTGAGCAATGCGCAAAGAGAAAGGAAATAGAGGGGACGGTCCGATTGAAACACTGGGGCGTTTTTTCAAGGTATGATATAGGTTATGGCACAGGAATATGTGGGTGACAAGAACTGCTAGCCGCTGATAAAGGGAGTTAGAGTGGAAAGGACACATACCATAAGCGCGGGTACAGACAGCATCAGTTAGGCGTTGGTTTCAGCAAATGATATCAAGGGGAAGGTGGAGAATGCGACGGCGGGTGACAAGAAATGATAACAGCTGATAGGGCCTGATAGAGAACGATGCAGTTGTTCAATCAAACGCTGGAGCCTCTACACCACGAAATTATGGAGTTTTAGTGATAGCGACATTGATGACGAGTGACAAGCAATTTTAACAATTGATAAAGGGGGGGGGGGGGGGTATATACTTCGCACTGAAACAGGAATTTGGAGAAATCAAAACGCGAAATATTGAACACACTTTAATGCTTTACACTTACAGCGAGTATTTAAATATTTTTTTGCTTTTCAACATTCAAATCACTGATGAGAACGAATAACGAAGTAGTTTGTAAGATATTCAATGAACGCTGCCTAAATATTGTCATCTGCAGCCATTCATGCAACCTTAGCAGGTGGATTGCATGTGACAAGTTAATCGCCCATCGTGTTGTGATGCAGGTAATAAAAACGGAATGTGTTTATCTACTGTGCAACACATATTCTGTACTTCCTATCTACTTCCAAGATCTACGTATAGAATGGGCGTTATGGCCGAAACCCGCACGCCTTCCGGTGGCAGATTTCGCTAAGTTACTCTGTCTATTTTGATTCGACCACTACCGCGCAATATGAGCAGCTCATACAATTAACTAATCCATCCCGTTATGATGTGCGCCTGGCGAAGCCAGGCCAGCTCGGCGAAGCCGAGCTAAAAAGAAGGAGGAGAGCTCGGCGTCAGCCGGGCGATCCGACTGGTTTGATAATAAAAGCAAGGGCATCATCGACAAAAATTGCCAGAAAATAAGCCATATAAAGACGGGCATATGACGTAAACACTGGCTGATACAAATGAGCAGTCACTTCGGGCGTGTGGCCACATCATTAGCCAGCGGGGACCTGGTCCAGTACCGGAGGGAAACACCAACCATCATTGCTCGCAACTTTTCTGTGAGAAGGAGCTAAGACCCCGACACCAAGACCTAGAGTGCCGAAGGTCCATCTTGTCGCTAGTGCGTTGATTTTCACTAACAGGTCCATCATATACTCTTGCAGTGACTTGTTAATGAAATGCTTTTCTGAAGAGGCCACCGTTCACTCTACTGCAAACAACACTAAACATCACATATAATGTCGCACCGAAACTGCGCACCAGCTGGGTTGTCAAGCGGGATGAGTTTGGCACGGTGCAACGCCGTTTCCAACCAGTTGTCAACAAGGTGATATTGACTGTGTCCATATCGTTCGTATACATCGTTTCTACCAGTTTTAGTCGAATGCGCTTCCTTCCAACAAAGAAGGGCAGAAAAACGGCTTGACAGCGTGCACATTCATACTACCTGGATGCGGCAGCAACCGTCCGCAGCGAAAATGGAGTACAGCGTGTGGTGAGCACCAATGTTTTAAGAAAGTAAAAGAAGTGAACATCTTTCAATAGAAAAAGGGGTTCCCATTCAAAACCGCAATATAAGGCTTTTTCATTCCAATTTGGTAGATTGCAAAAGTATTTATCACAAGAGAAAGTCTCACCGGCACATCTTCCCGCGTTACATCTTTGTTGCAGACAATATAAAGATCATGAGCAATCTATGGCTCTTCAGTTCATACAACCCGACGAATAATGGGACACTGAGGAAGTGAGGCGACACGAACAGCGAATTCTCGAGCAGCAAGCGGCCAAATATCTGTGAATAGAACTCGATAAAGATGAAAACAGATATTCATGTTATACTTTCAGCATATATGTTTAGCAGATACATTCGCCTTGTACCTGCCCGAAGATAAAAAACCGAATGAGGTAAAATAACGACTTTTCCATTGTTCTCATGTTCATACTGATGATATAGGTATACCCACTAACCCTCCCCCCCCCCCCGAATGCGTGTTCATCTGCACGAAAGCTGCGTTCATACTTTGCTGCGGTTAAGCAGCAGAATTTGAGTCGACAATACGGCTTTTTTTTGAGAACGCGCGTTTTCCCTGAACGTCTTTCGCCGACTTTCCTATTCCCGTCGTGAATTATGAATGCGGCCCTAGACAAATCCATTGAACGAACCCATTGAAGTCAGCCACGCTCGAAGTTTCGTAAGCGTCCTGACGTCGTGTACAAGTATTCTAGCTCACAGCCTCCAAGAATATCCCTGTTTCGCGATTTCACAGATAGTAACGAAAACTCTGCGGCCCCCATATATCAGTTTTGACACCTCCCAAGCTGTAGTAAGACTTAAAAGCTATTTTCTGTGACGAGTTCACTTTCAACACCATGTTTTTTGATTAATTTTTCCACTGTTAGATGGCACTGGAACCGGATGAAGCGAAGAAACAACTAGTGAGCCAGAGACAGACAGGTGTCACAGAACGTGTGTTCCGGAGAAGTCGTACTGCCAGTGGTCCTTACTGAGGATGTTCTCCAAGATTTTTCCAGCACTTTTCGTCCAAGAGGGTCACTTAGTGGCTGTAGGTTATAGCTTTGTAGCGATTGCCACTCGTGGGCATAGGTTTCAAGAAGGGGGATTAACAGAGGGAAGGGGAGCGTTCTTTGCACAGGAGCCTTGATGTTCTTATCATGAAGCAATGTCAATCGCGAAAGCATGACATCCTCTGAAATTGCAGACAGAGCATCCCGGCTTAGCAGCTGTAAGGGAGAAGTTAGGAAGGATTAGAGAAAGAAGGAAGGAATGAAGAAAGGACGAAGAAGAAGGAAAAGAAGGGAGGCTCCACGGCTGACAAGTAGCCTGAGGTGCTCCTCTTACAAGAAAGGGCTCCTGGAGGTTGGGTAATTGCGGGCTTGCCTTTAACACGGTTGAAAACACTGCGTTAACAAACTCACAAAGATGAAAACAATAAACACCACCATGTCAGTGATAACAATATCCTTACTGTTTTGTGCTTTTGATGAATGACCAGTGTATCACGACTTATTCTTTCTATCACTTGCATGCCATTGAGAGTGTGGTCCCAATCCATTTTGTACTTATCGTCGAAGAAGTAGTGCATGAATTCGAGAGCAGAAACTCCCTGAAAGGTCATTAGTATGACAAGCGCCAAAACAGTACTTTGTAAAGCACCAACCTGCACTTGATGAACAGCTTTGAGGGGATCTATCGGCAATCCACCATCGACTGTTTCTTCACGGGTATACATTTTCATAGCACCATCTTCAGCGAAAAGGGTCCACACGTTATCTTCAACACCGGCTAAGGCATACCTGAACTACCTGCCGTACCGACTGCAGCATTTCCCGGTCAATGAGCAAACTAACCTGAGCTGCTCTTTAGCTAAATGGTCCACTAAGTCATAATACACATGAGTTTTAGGAATCAGTATATTGTCATAATCTCCAAATAGCAATGTCTGAAATTTTGCCAGCAGAGAGAGAAACGACTAATGAGCCAGAGACAGCAGGGTATTATAGAACGTGAGTTCCAGATAAGTCACATAAGGCTGCCAGAGGTCCTTACTGAGAATGTTCTCCGATATTTTTCTAGCATTTTTCTTCCTCGGATAGTCACTTAGTAGCTATAGGTTTGTAGCGATTGCCATTCGTGCGTAATACGTTTCAAAAGGGGAACTAATAGAATGACGGGGAACGTACTTTGCACAGGAATTCCTGATGTGTTATCATAAA